CGGGGGGGGGGGGGGCCGCAGCGGGCAGAGGCCGCCACTCACAGTTCATGTTGATCTGCTGGGAGAGCTCGATCAGCTCCATCTCGGTCGGCATGTACCCCATGGTGCGCATGCAGTTCCCCAGGTCCCGGCAGTTGATGTAGCCGTCCCGGTCTCGGTCGAACTCTCTGAAGGCTTCTCTCAGCTCTGTGGGGCAAAGCCAGTTGAGGGAGGGGCTGCCGGGGGCGGGTCTTTCCCCCGGCCTCCCCCGAAGCCTGGCCCCGGAGGGGCTCTCTTCGCCCCCCGCTACTCGCCGGAGCTCCGGCAGGGCCTGGGAAGCCAGCTGTGGCAACACGCGTGTCCCTGCGGCTCCCCGCCAGCCCTCTCCGACGTCTTGCATTTTAGAGAAATCGACTGCAGCGAAGCCGAGAACCCTCCAGCCTCGTGTCTATTTCCAGGGATGCGCCGAGTGGGTGCCGTTTCCCAAGAGGGTGAATATGGAGTTTGGCAGCAGCCCAGGGATGTCATTTGCAAGCGCAAAAACTGCCTGAAGGTGAACAGGGATCCTGCAAAGAGGGGGAGAGGGAGGGGAGAGGAGGGGAGGGGCCACCTGGGGGGATCGGTGCTTCTCCCTCAAGCAGCCTTCTGGGGAATCAGTGGGACCCTCGGCCATAGCGAAGTGCCCACAACTTACCGCCCTCCCCACCAGTGTGAAGAAGCTAGCAGCCTGGCTGTAGGCACCCTTTTGGGGAGAGAGAAGAAGGGGCCGAGTGACGACCCCTCCCTTGCAAAGGTCTTTCTGCTTCTCTACAGCCTCCCCCCACAAAGAGCTGAAGTCATGCATGATCCCACTCAAGGCAACTCAAAGCATCACGCTTTTAAATAAGCGCATCTTTAAAGGCCCACCCTGCATCTCCCTGCTCTCCCCCCCAGGGACGGGTCGCTGCTCAGACCACCAGCTGGGGAACCCAGAGCCAGGATCCTTCTTCCGACACCCCAGTCGGACGCTTCCCTGCTGCTGATTCAAATTCACACTTCCAGATCAATATGCCATCCAAAGATGGTTCTCCAGCTTTCGCACTTCTCAGAAGTTATGTAAGAATGCAAAGTGTAATCTAATATGTGTGCATTAGTGGGTGGGAAATACAGAATAACTGCTTGCAAAGATAGATTGGTAGATAGATTAGACAGAGATAGATAGATGAGAGAGAGAGAGATAGCATAAATGCTTATGAATTTTCATTTTTTTTTAAAGTTGCCAGCTGATGCGGAAGTGGGAGAGAGCTAAAGATTGGAAAAATGAGAACTGGGGACTCTGAGATGAATGCTCTCTTTCCCTTTCACAGTCCTCTAAACAGGAGAAAAGAGGAAAACATCTTACCTTCTATTTCTTCGGGACGCAGTTCTCTGTCCTGGAAGGGAAAAGTTCCTGGGATTAAAACTGGCTCTTTCCCAGGCAGCTTCTGAGCATACACCAAGTGCGTTAACAGGGGAGGGGAGGGGAGGAAAGGGAATTAAAAGCCCCCAGTAGGGTCTTGCTCTTCTGTGGCCATCGGGTCAAGCAGAGAATTTGGCCAAGACCCACCGAAGGGGATGTTTCCAGCCAAGCCCCCCTCCCTTCCTACGGCTCATCGATTCAGTTCAAGTGGACTTGAATAAACGCCGTCGCTGCCAAGGACAGAAGATGGCAGAAAGGGGGATCGGGAGTTACGACCCCTTCCTCCCGCCCTCCCGTTTTGGCTACAGCCTCCCCGCCCTCGCTCTTCAGAGCCCCAGGGATGGCTCAGCCTTAGCCTGGGGGCACCTGGGGTCTGGGGCCCAGAGAATGAAACACGAGGGGCTCGTGGGGAGACAAGGAAGGAGGATTCCGCGAGGTCAGGGAGCAGCCAAGGCTGGGGGCGGGGGGAGGCTTGTCCAGAGCAGAAGAAAACTCTGTGGCTGCCCGGAGTGGGAGCAAAGCCAGAGGTGGAAATGCGCTGCTTAAGGGGGAAACGTCTCTTCTTCCGTAGGAGGCTGCTAGCTCCCGGGCAAGAGGTCATTCCCAGCCCCCCGCCAATCTCCTTGCCTGACAGAGCCCTGGTATTGCCCCCAAATGAACGCCTGGGGCTGCCAGAGTCCCCCGACCACGCTTCTGCCCCGAGCCCGGGGCGGCTCCAAGTGGCCCACGCTTGCACAAGAAGGCTGAGCTAGACAGCAAAGCCCGCCCAGACGCCCCTTCCCCACCCCAGAGCCCCTTCTCCCCTTTCTTTCGCCAGTCTGGCAGGTGAGCTAGATGCCGCGGAGGAGAGAAGGAAGGACAGCAACTGTGGGAGATCAGCAGCAGCCATTTGCTGGCTTTCGGTAAGGGTCCCTCGAGGGTCTCGAGGGCAACAACAGGAATGATCACCCGGAGCTGGAGCTGAACACAGCCAGCTGCCTGGCAGAGCAGCTGAGAGGAGCCACGGGGTTAAATGTCTTCTAGGGCACATTCAGGAGAGCTCCCTCGATGCATTAGCCTATGAAGAAGCACGATCCCCTAACAGGCATCCTGGAGCCCCTGTGGGCTTGCAAAGTTCCCTGGGGTGGGGCACACGCAGGAGACCGCCCAAGTGTCAGCTGGTTCTCCCACTCTGCCAGCCCCATGCCCACTCTCAAGGGCGATCAACTCACTTTGTCCTCCTCCCAGCTGAGCTCAGCTGGGCATCAACCTGCCATGCCCTACCTGCCACAGTGCTGTGTCCATGCAACTAAGCGGATGTTCGGCTCCTTGGAGAACCACCTCCTGGAGCGCAGCAAGAGCCAGGCTTGGTCCAGCCCAGGCTGGGAGAGAGGAATGGTCTCCGTGGCCTGGGAGCAGCCACCTGCCCATCTCCAGCCCTGGGGGCAGGGGATGCCATGCCCTCGGCAGGCTGCCTGTCCCGAGAGGATCCAACTTACATACCGGCTGCCTGTTTTCTGCGAATCCCTTCCTCAGGAAGATGCAGGCCGGCCCCAGCAGGTTGTGCATCACGGCGCAGTTCTGGGCCAGCGCCATGAGCGAGCCCTGGCGCTCGCCGGCTGACGGCCCCTCCTCACTCATCTGGACAGCCTTATAGCATGCCTTCTCCTCATGGTGGATCTTCTTGGCCCGATCAGCAGCAAGCAAACAATACAACAGAGGAAGTTACCTCTCTGCTCCTCGCAGCTCATTAGGGCACCCTGCCTCTAGTACCCACCCTACGGCTTGCAATGGCGCAGAAGCACTCTCCACCGAGGCCTGTTTCAGAGGACGGGTTGTGTGATTCCAGGACACAAGTCCTGTGTTCAGCCACGTCTTTCAGGCACAGAATGTTCTATCTCCAAGAAGCCTCGTATCTGCCACCGTTCCACGCTCCCACCCCCGAAGCAGCCAGAACACGTTCACTTCTAAGAGGGGACGAAAGTGAAGCAGCCCCCTCCCCCCAGTGGATATCAGAAGCCCTCTTGGTAGCCCACACAACCCCTCCGACAGACCACAGGCGCAGCTTGGAAGAAGGCGCTCCTGGATCCAGTTCTGCCACTGGAAGAGGGAGGAGGCCAGGAGTCTGGGTACCTGCGTGTGCCAGCAAGAAGGCCACTGGCAACTGCTTGTTACTACTAACCCCAATGGCAGGTCCCTAGACTAATCCATTTAGTGCTGGGGGCCATAACTCAGGAGTCCCAAAGTTTTGGGTGAGGCCACTAAGCCTCCTCAAAACTTGTATTGAATTGCTACTATGCTGGGGTCTGAGAAGTTATTAAAAGGAAGCCACTACACGAGCTATACTTGGTTAATTAATCATGTTGTGCTGGCCAATCTCTTCCATCCACTTCATGTCCCCTACATGCAGGTGGGAGCTTCATCTGGAGAAGGGTGGGCGCCCCAGCTTAGTCTGGCCTGCATTTCCAGAATCAGATCCACTGAAGGATGAAGCCAGACCTCAAATCAAGCTTCGGGCAAAGTGGTGGGTTGAAACAGCAGCCAGACCCGGCTTGCCAGAGATGTTTCTAGCTAGCCCTGGAGCGCTTCTCTGGGCTTCTTCACAGGAATGCTCACCTCCCCAGATTTCTCTGGCCCAGCAGCCCCCAGCATGGCAGGTGTGGTGGGGAACCCCCTTCCCAAGAGTGTCAATGGCTGTCTTCAAGACCGAGACAGTAGCGAAGACCCTTCAGAGAAGGCGAAGCTGCTCTCCCTTAGCCTGTGGGGTGGGTTTGCTTTAGGTGTTAAGGGACAGAGGCTCGCAGTTCATGTTATCTGCCTAAGACAGGACTGGCCAGGGGCTCCCACGACGTTCCTGGGGAGGGAAAGTGCCACAGTTCCCGGTTTCTTTGTTAGGGCTTCCTCTACAGTTTTCACATGCCCCCGCTGCAAATAGCGGGAGATTGCCCATAGGATCCTCATCTGTTGCCATCAGAAAAGCCTTCAGGGGCCGCGGACTGTCCCTCCCTGCTGTGGGGAAAGATGTGGTGCCGTGATCGAGATCACACCTCGCCTTTCTTTTGCAGACTGGACACTTGGGGACACAGACTTCTGTACCAAGGCAGAAAATGCAAACCGCTTGTGGGTCTGATCCCTCCCCACCTCCACAAATGCCCTCCCTGTATCTGCTCCCGGACCCACTTATTGAGTCCTTTCAGTCGGGCTGCACTCTGCCCATGTACAGGAAACAGTGCATAGGCTGACCAGCAATTCAGAATCCCTCAAACTTCAGCTTTGGGGGTTTTATTTCAAGACTTGTGCAAAGGAGAAACCGGGATGCTGTCCCTATGGAAATTTCAGAAGCTTCCTTTGCAACGAGGGAGCCTTGCATTCCGTGTACAGGGTGGACTGTGTGTGCGCGCGTGTGTAAGGCTGTGTGCATGACAAGGGAGACAGGAAAGAAGCGAGTTCAGCAGCAGCAGCAGCAGCCAGGTATGGCCTGGTATAGCTCCACGGGAGCCAAATGCATCCTGGGCTTCAACCCACTGGGTGCAGCACAGCGCCTGCTGGCTCCCCCGCCTGAGGCCAAGACCCACGCGCCCTGCTCCCCGTCATGTGGGGTGCAGCTTTTCCAGCAGGCCCTCCGGGGCCCAGAGTGGAATCCAGTAGCAATGCTTCCAGGCCCACCAGAGAGCCAGTGGCTCACCTTATATAGCCAGCCCCGAGCCCCCCTGGGCTCTGGCGGAAACGTTCCTTTCTGACATTCCCATGCAGCTATAAAAAGCAGCAGTGCTCATGAGGACCTCTGAATTTTATGCAATAAACATTCACCATCCTATTGCCGCTTTCCTGAGAGGCCGAGAGCTTTTTTCCCCCCTAAAGTTCCTCCGGCCCCGTTTGAGAGCTGCTCTTAAAAAGCTGCTGCGCCGTCACCCAGCACGGCCGAATGCTTCCTGGCAGGGCTGAGAACGCGGACCCAGACGCTCACAGATTTGCACGCACGGCTATGTTGAGTGGCAATGAGAGTTTCTTGCAGGACACACACCCTGCCTGATGGTGCTGCCATTTCTTCTGTTTGAAACACAGCCTGAAGTGACCCGCTTCGGTCAAATGCCGCTGGCATTGGGTGCAGGGAGAGCATCCAGGGTAGGATCACCATCCACAACAAAGATGCTTCAACAAAATAAGGTGGGCTCTGTTCCCCGAGAATAGGGCACCCTCCCCTGACCATCTGCCCAATTGGGCAGCCCAAGTTGAGCAGCTGGAGGGGATTTCTGGCACCATGTTCAGCTGGACAGCATCCTTTTGAAGAGGAAAGATTGGACCAAGGAGAACATCAGTGCTATGCAGAGAGGGGCAACTTGGGTCTGGTGGCCCTGGGGCTAATCTGCAGCAGATATCTGATACTTGGTGATGGGAAGGAGCAGGTACCCATTGTCTCTGCTCAACCATGGGGTTACCGGGGCCTTAGACTCCCAGAGATGCTACCTCTAAGGACACACAGCAGCATCTTCTCACCCTCGCTTCTGGCAATGGGAAAGCAGAGAGTGCAAGAAGCAGCACTGAAATCACCATCTCCTTCCATTTCAGGTCGTCTACTGGTTTCTCAGCCTCTCCACTCCACCCCCACCCCCAAATCTGTCACTGGGCAGTAGACTTTGTGCTGCAGACCACACATGGAATACACTGTCCAGTTCTGGTTGCCACAATACAAAAAGGATGCTGAGGCACCAGAAAGAGTGCAGAGAAAAGCAACAAAGATGGTGAGGGCCTTGGAGGATCAATCCTATGGAGGGTGGGTAAAGGAACTGGGTGAGTTTAGCCTGAAGAAGAGAAGGCTCAGGGGAGACGTGATAGCAGACGTCCCATACTCGAAGGGGTGTCACAGGGAAGACAGGGTGGGTTTGTTTTGGAGAGCGTGAAGGGGTAGGACAAGAGCCTTA